AGTTATCTTTTATTTATTTCTGATACGACTGTTTGCAATGCTTTTTAATCGACAGGAAAAAACTCTCAGCCTACAGTATCACATTCATTACTCACAAATGTGGTCCTCAACTGACATCTATTATCAATGATTTGTCCAAAGGTATCTATCAGTGAGCTAGTATCATAGACATAGAACAACTGACTCAATTATAATATTATTGAGAATAAAATTAAATGAGGTATAAATGCAATTCCACCAAGATTTACACTTAACTCAAATGTGCAAGTACGCTTGACAACTATAAGCAAACATAAACTTAACTTCAAAGGAATAAAGGAATTGATTTCAACCAATTAACAGCTAATAACAATTAAATTATTACGAAATATTTAATAAAGTTTAACAAATTGAAGGTAAAATAAACAATCAATTTCGGCTTTTGTTTTTCCTTGGTAAACTGATTGAATAATAAATTATTAATAATTTTGTTTAGTGTATGTTTACTATTTATTGTTTTCTGTTCAATCAATCAATAATTCAATAAAGGAATGCCGTGGTGGTATTTTTATGAATTATGTATGATATATATATGACAGCTATAATAGGTTACAATGAATGCAAATACATTCTATATTGTTTAGTGAGAAATTTATTTATATTCAATAAAAGAAATTATAATATTTCTGACAATAAAAATTTTAATTATTTTTTTATATTTCGATAAAAATATAATCAGAGAGAGGTTTTTGGATATTATAGTAAGTTCAATAAGTTAGGTCATGAGTCAATTAAAGCTAGACCACTATGGAAAACCTGATCCTAGTATTTGAAGTTAGACATTAACACCGTTGGATGCCGGCTTAGTGGTCTAGAGGTTAAGCGCTCACGCGTGAGACTTGTAGGTCTTGGGTTCGAATCTCGCGGGGGGCGGGATCGTGGGTGCGCACTGTTGAGTTTCCCATACTAAGACGAATCGGCAATCTAGTGCTTCTAGGTTTTCTATAGTGGTCTAGCTTCAATCGACTAATGAATTCAACTATTTCCATTCATAAAGGTGATTAACTCAAACTTTCCATATACTGTTTAACCGTTAGAAAGAAAGGCCTGACCATGCATCCAAATTAAACCATTAATTTTAAACAACAACATTTGATCTGTTGTAATCTCTCCGTAATACCATATGTTGTAATTATTATTACTTTTGGATCTAAAATATCAAATTTCAGTTCATTATGCATTCCTGTTGATACATTTTAAAACACACGGTGAGGACGTATTAATTTTCAATAGGTGCCACGTTCACTCAACGCTAATAATAGTTTCCTTAAATAAGTATAACATAAAAAATAAATAAATGCTAGTGAGTCAGTTTTACAGTTCAGTAGTCAGTTTGTAACTCAGTCTGCAAAGTTCAAATTGAAACTGTAAAATTTCATAATCGCTTAATTATCACAACTAATGACATAAGAATAGTTAGAATGTACATTGTAATGAAATACAGGACGCACGTTTCACCTTATTTGGGACTCTTCAGTTGGATGCACGTGCATCCTAGAGTAGATGTTTACTCTGGGACTAGAAATAGAATATAATACATAGTACATATGACATAACACATATATTCTGTATATTCAAATGTATCTGATTTTTGTTAGAGTCAAAAGTAAAATGATATTTCAATGAAGTATCCTATCATTATTTTTCAAACCTGTTATTTTGTGAAGAATTGTTATGAGATATAACGTAAACGCCAAATCTTGGAAGTTTGAAATAGTTTTCACTGTATTTTTCGAGAGTACACTTGATTGCAAACACAAGGATAATAAGTTCATTGAACAAATAAACACAAATACAAACTAATAATACAGTTGACATAAATGCATTATAATTGATAAACGTCATGTTAAAAAAATGGCATCGGTGAATACATTCTCTGTCTTCCTTTAAACTATGAGATTAAAATCGCTTCATACCTTTCGTTCTACGGACTAATTCTTTCTTCCTGTACTATATCCTTATATGCAGTCTTTCTTTTATATATTACCACCACTGAATTAACTACTTCTATGAATCCGGTGTTCATCTTGTTGTGTTAATGAGGTATGGCAACTTGGACCGATGCGTATATGTGCCTTGTCCTACATTGTAGCTGACTGACTGAATGATGTTAAAAAGAATGAAAATGCTGAGAATAACTTTTGTGAGTGGTTTAAAGAAAAAACACAAAGTGAAAGTTTTTTATAAACAAACAAATACTATATTGATTTTTGAAAATAAGCTAGAGAATTTAAAGTCAAAATTTCACAGTTTCAACAACCTTTTCGTGGGGATTATTCTCTCAGGTTTCGACGACATAGACAACATCTATTTCAGATAAATTGGACAATGCGTAACATTTGTTATTTTGTATAATTTTAATTCGTTTTACCGAATATTTGTTACAGGACGTAGCCGTCTCAAATGATTCTGTCGGATTTTATCCGGCACTTTATTAAGTTATGGCTTTCACAACAAGTTGTTGTGATCAAATGCTAAACAAGAAAACTATGGTTTTTCGAACTAATGAGTAAGTGTTCATTTTATTATTTGTGTGTGAACAAAAAGTGAGTTGACAATGTTTATGAATATGGCTATTAGTAAACCATAACATCCTACATAGTGTTGAGTGATCATAAGTGTGTCGTTAACAGTAACTGAGATATGATAACACCTTGCAAGAACTATTTTCATAGATTTAAAGTGTTTATCAGATGATACTAAGAGCTAAAATTCGATCGGTCTTTACTGGTAAATGTGCTTTCTGTAAAGATTGCCTAGAAATAATCATATTTCCAAACATATATGTTCGGTTCAAGTCTCTATGGGAGCATTATCAGAGGGCTAAAGACACATCCAGTTGATAAATGGCAAATAGGATGAAACACGCTTCTTTAATTTCACGTTTAAACGCAACGCATATATTCTATTTAGTCAGAACAAATTTCAGTCCATCAAGCGGATTTATTTTGTTCATGTTTATTATAAACGAACAATTTGTCTTATGTAAACCCTCAAAGTAAATGCTCTCATTCTTCAAACAATTAGACTTGTTTCAATTTATACAAAGATAATAATGGGACTATATACTTATTAGGAAAAAAACAACAATTTTAATGACTTTAATGATCAGATAGTAGTCAATAAAGCAATTTTATAATCTACATATTAACGAAAAGGGAACAAGTCACAACATTCTAGGTCGTATAAATTTCTTATTAACAAAGTGGGTCATTATATCAACGTAGATAAAGAAAATAAAGTTTAATGACATTAAAACAAAAAAGAAATTCATGTTGCCTCAAAGTTTATTTATTTATATTGAATAAAAATAAGGCAAGAATGAACCTTGTTTGTAATTAATTGAACGTTACAAATATGATGATTTCAATATATATATATATATATTTATAAGAACGTCCTTCAGAACTATATCATTATAATGATGTACTATTTTCTTCATAGCTGTTTTGTTTCTGTGAACAGATGGTAAAATGTATGCCTTGAAAAGAACTTGTGCTACTATGATATTCGGAAGTATTTGAATTATAGTACAAACTAAGAATCTCAGAAATAACATAATCGGATCAAGAAGTACTAGATAAGCACAAACGAATGTACTGTATTTAGAATTCAAAATTAAGCATTCACAAATGCAAAGGTATCATTAGTTCATTCAAACACTACAGATACTTTACGTTTATGCCTATATTTAAGTGAATTTCTTTCTATGAATAAAATGTGTTACTAATACTTTATTATTTAAAATAACAAATTTATTTCAATCTGACTGGATCCAAACATTGTTTATAACGATGTCGATGCAGTAAGATCTATTAAAATGTTATTGTAGATTCGTATGTTAATAAAAACATTTTTTTATAATATATATGTCAAAATATGTAATATGTATAAGAGTTGTTTCTGTCAACTAATGAATGAGATTCAAAGTGCTTAGTATTAGAATTTAGAGAGCGTATTTTTTGCTATTTATTTATTTATCTGAATCCTAGTGTTGATGTTTGTTAATATTCATACTCAAAGCCTTTTGATTTAAATGAACGCTGAGCTATTAAGTTTTGATATGGGCTAAATTGTACAATGTGTGTTGACATGATTGGTATGGGTTAGTTACATACTGTTATCGTTGTTGATGATTATCATGGTTTAGTCTAGAAATGAACAACTATTTCTGCAAGTATTAGTCAATTTACAAATAAAACCATAAAGTGTATCATAATGTTCAAAACAAATACATAATATACCAGTTGGTTTTTTTTCCATAGACTGAAGAGATTTACCAATTAAAAGATATTCTCAAAGTACTAGTTTACCGCTACTCAGCAACAAAACTATCTAATTGGATGAACTGAACTAGCAGACCATTTTTTGTCATAGATATATGGTACTAAGCTGTATCGATATTTCTTGAAATACCTCTATTAACTCTGGAAAAATTCTATTTTAGTAAGAAATAAGTCAGTATTTCAATGGTTAAGATCATGAGTTAGTTGCAGCTAGACCATCTTGGAAACCAGTAGGTCCTGGGTTTGAATCTCGCAGGGGGCGAGGTCGTGGATGCGCACTGCTGAGGAGCTTCACGATAGGACGAAACGGCCTACCAGTGCTTCCAGGTTTTCCATGGTGGTCTAGCTTCAATTGACTCATGATCTTAACTATTGAAGTTATTACAATCTCCACAAAACCCATCTGAAATAAGTCATTATATCAAAATAATAAAGCAGAAGAATTTTTCTGTGTTTCTAATAAGCAGCATCTAATTACAGACAATAAGTTAATATACGTGCTTCGAATAAATCTAACTAAATTTACAATTTATACACATATTAAAAATGGTTAGCAACTAAATATTTTCATTATATAATAGGAGTTAATATATTTGGTTTACTCTATATATTTGAATATATTTCTCATTCGTTAGGATAGTTGTGACCTTCACAATTTGACAAATCAAAAATACGGAAATAAAAATGTCCTGGTATAAATGTTATTACTGCAAATTTGTATCATTTTAGATTTTAGTATACAAGTAATTCAAAGGGATTTTAACTAGAAGATATTTTCTTTCAACAGTCTTTTCATAAAGTAGAATGTTTATGAATAGAGATTTCATGAAATTTCAACGGATTATTACACATGTTTTACTATATTTCAATTGAATGATTTTTTGGTCAAAATATGAACACTGCTAAATGTACTTGTCGTTGTACATGTAAATCTGAACAAAATTCAGATATGGATAATTCACAACGAAATCCACATTGTTCGTTACAGGTAAGTTACATATCAAAGTATATCTACATATGGTTATTTATCAGTTACTATAAACAAAGTTATGAAATCATCTATTCGTTTGTAGTAGCATGATGCTTGATAAAATTTCAGGTTTATAACTGTGAAGATTCAAGAATAACTCGATAAAATACAATCCTTGAACAAATGTTCAAAAGTAGCACAGATTTTCTAAATCGACTATATTTTGCTTAGTATCAAACAGTTGAAACCAGAACATGCGTTTTGTTTTATACGAACTTTTCACAAAGCTGTTTAATAAGAAGCCTTGTGGCTAAAATTTAAGCATTATAAGCATTAAGTTATCTGTTTTAATTCAAACGTGTAAACGCTTCCCTATCATGTTCAGATAATCTAACAGGAATGGAACAAAATATGAGTTTTAGATTTTTCACAGAAACCTTTTTCAACTTCTCGTTGTTAATTAAATGATCACTAACAAATGTGTGGAAAAAACGTTCATGTACTCAGTAGTTTAAACTGAATAATAAATCAGTAATACGCTTTTGCATAATTCCATTAGTGAAACGAAAATTATTTAGCTCTGTGCATATATATCTATACATATATTTCATGTATTGTATTCATGTGAGTTGTGAAATAAATTATCTTAGCTAATAAAATAACAAGTAAATAACTCAAAGTTGCTAATTTAACAGAAAAGTTGAGTTTAACTGTTCTTATTATACAGAAATATGTTCACTAGGTAGTTCGTTTTACTTTAAGTAATTCTGAATAAAATTTATCTTAGTCTGATATACCTCGGATATCTATTTGTCCAGTGTATCGCTTTCTTATATGGCAGTCATCCAGAATTTATTCAGCATCTATGTTGTGTAATTATATTCTGTTAAGACTATTGTTAGGAATCATTTGCTTCGGTAACGAGAGTTTTTATTTACCAGTTAACTGTTGGAATCTGATCTCAACATCTTAGAATCTACAGTTTGTAATATCAGCCTGACAATTCAAAACATGATGACTTATTAGATTGACGAAACATAGTTAATAGAAATGTACTACCAAAGGATGACTAAAAACCTATAATGCATGGATTAGTAAGTAACAAATCACTACGATGCGGTAGTTTAAAGCTACAAAACGTAACGTAGGAGAACCTTGATGATGCAACATAATAATATAATATTACACTATCAATAATCGACTCGCAAGTCTCTAATTCATAAGTATTCCAAGTATATATTTCCAAAGGCACTTTGCTCATAAACTGTTAATTATTAAACTGTATAGCTGGAAAACTAATATCTTCAACATTATAATAGTTCATCAGTTTTATTCGGCTGAAGAATCAAAAATGAGCCTTTGCTTTCTCCATGCATTTTGCAGGTACATGAACACTGTCTTTCAGCATTTTGTTTAAGATAATCCATAAAAGTAATCACCATATTATGAGTGTTAGCTTAGTGAGGGTAATGTTTAATGACATTGAAATAAGACAATATAATAGAGATTCATGAAGAATCATATGTGTTATTCAACTAGTTATAAAAAATATAAGAAAGTCAACTGTAGAAATATGTAAGCGAAATTATCGAACAACTAATGTAATCATTTCCTTTTGATAAACATGACTTAAAAACATTATTCTCACTGTAAGTACATATGTATTATGTGATAAATTAGTGTGTCAAAAGGGTTCATTAGTTGTTTTTTGGTGTTAAAAAGAATGAAACATTTAATTTGAAATAAGTAACTATGAAACATTGAATGATCAGGTTAACCTGAAAGCTGTCGGGCTACTTTGTCAATTTAAAAAGTGATATTATTCATGAGTTGGGCTATCATCAACTAGATTGCCAAGAGGAATTTTATAAGAGTTTAATTTTTTTTAATTAATAGATAATATTGTGTCGTTGTTGGCTAAGCTTGATGGCAAGAAGATTGCTAAAGGTTATTCAATTCTAACAGAGTGTGTAATTTGAGTAACGAAACTATTCTGACTATTCAGTGGAATAGTTGATAATTCATTGTAATAGTTTTATAATCACATTTTGAGGGTAGACATACATTTTAAAAAAATAACACTTTATATACTTCTATGTATTAAGAAAACATAGGCAAATAAATACAATTATGCATGACTGGTATGTTAAATCCAAAAACAAAGGAGGTCAACATATGAGATGGTGAAGAAGATTTGTAGCGCGGGTGGATGATTTTCATGAAGTTTTATTTTCTGAGTTGGATGGTTTGGTCGTGAAGTTTTCATTGTTCTTCTGAACGACATCGTCAGCTCAAACCATCCAGCTCAGTGGACAAAACCCCATCAATATATTTGACTTACATTCAGTACTATTCCGGAACACTTCTAACTGACTTATATTATTATAAACTGACTTTTATCAACTATTGTGGGCTATTCTTGTACCATCGGTAAAAGGTATAATAGATATAATTTAGTTATAAGAGTAAATACTTTAATATAACATTATAATGGAATGTTCTCAGTTATAACTTCAGTTTGTTCGTTGATATTTAAGTTGTGGACAATTTCATCATTTTTAATAAAAATCAAATATCACAACTTCTATCTTCATATACACTCCTATCTAGTAAAGAGATTATAAGTTAGTTAAAGTGTGTTTTACCATCTTCAAATTTATAAACTAAATCAAGTCAAAACAGTTCGTAGATTTCAATGGAAGCATTTCAACACGGATATAAATTATGGATTTATTCTAATAGATTTATGTTCAGTAATTAGGTTAAAAGCACATAATCATTTGCTACTTAATAATACGATAATAAATTCCCATTGAATAATATTTTAGGTACAATCTATCAGTAAAAGATAGGAATGTTATTATCTTCTAAGTAAATTACGTTAATAAACGCTTATGATAAATCCTTAAAATAATAATAATGAAAAGGTTTATCAGTTCTATTTATACAAACTATGGAAGTGAGATATTTCACTTGATAATATTCAAAGCCTAAAGGCTGCAATTTTTGTCCCAAAGCAGACTAGAATTCATTATTATTAGTGAGATATTCATATTGTTTAAAAGAAAGAAAGCTAATTTTGGTCTTTTCAATATCGTCTGAGACAATTACTTATGTATGTATAAGTTTTTCATATACCTTTTAAAAATCCAAGAATAGCCGCATTAATTAATTATTTCACCTTTAGGGAATTTTCATAATGCTAAATTTAGCATAGAAAATAAATTGAAGACTCATGGTTCAATTCAAAGATATGTTTTAAGAGTATCTGGGGTTTTTAGATGAAAACGGAAAGCAAATTTGATTGATAGACCTTTAATTGATACTAAAACTACCTAATTTTATAAAACCAATTATATTATGATGGAGTTTTGTTCTCTAAGCTGGATGGTTTGGTCGTGGAGCTTTCATCGTTATCCCGAACGAAATCATCAGCACAAACTACAGGTAGAAGTGAATTGTTCAAGCTTCTCCACATATAGTTCATAGCTTGTGCAATGAGAGATACAATCAAAATAAAGAAGTAAACAATGAAAGGTTTACTGTCAATAAGAACCAATCAACATCGAAGTCTACAGGACAAACTGTGAAACACATGTGGAGAAATTCGAACACTTCACCTCTATCTGAAGTTTGTGATAATGATGTCATTCAGAAAGCTCCACGACTAAACCATCCAACTCAGAGAACAAATCTCCATCAAAATCACCCAGCTGAGCTAAAAATCTTCTTCACCATAACAAATACTTTATTTTAGAGTTCTACTTACATTACTTGTTTCTACACTAAAACATTTTAACAAATGTATTAGTCAACTAAAATACATTTTCACTAGAAAGATAAGTTATTATGATTTAAAAAAAAGGCACATTACAGTCTATAATTATCAAAGTACAAATGTCACCATAATATAATTTAATTTATAATCAACTACTCTTCAAAGTAAGTATCAAATTTTTATCCACTTGACTTCACGAATCTATTTAAAGTTTCATACTTTTACTAATAAAACATAACTTATCAGAAGGGGTTTTGTGGAGATTTTAGAAATTTCACCGATTGAAATCACGGTCTCACTACTGAGGAGTTCCATACTAGAATGAAACGGCCGTCCAGTGCTTCCAGGTTTTCCATGGTGGTCTCGCTTCAGTTAATACATGATTTCAATCAGTGAAAACAAAACCTAATCAAAATATGAAATTTTCTTATTGTTCGATTAAAATTAGAAAAGCATATAGAATGTTTAATCAAAAAGTATACACTAGGTAATCTGCACAACATTAATTTGATTTTGATCTGAAATTTATCAGTGTGATGTAGGATAAATAAAGAAGTCAAGAGTTACATTGATTCTTTGTTTCAAAAATCATTCTAGTTTGTTGAAATCGCTTAAATCGTGAATGGCTTTACCGTAGAAGTAGAGAGTTCAGTTGATTTTATTTGAAAACAATGGAAATAATATAATCCATTGTTCTAATTCAATATTTTCATTGATTATTTCTCAACTTTATATCTTACTTTCTGTTATTTTAAAAAATAATGATATTAGGTGCTTGTATGTAGTTTACAAGGAACATTAAACCTAGGTTTCTTACTATTCAGAGTGCATGATAGATGTGTAATTGTGATCGTAAGGTAACTAGCGCTTGCTGAAGATTTCTATCGATTATTATCCAGCGTCACTGGACCATATAAACTGGGATTAACTTTCTGTATGACTGAGATGCATTGACAAGTGATTAATGACTCTACATTTAATTCACTATGCTGAGATTTTAAGTGGTCGGAGTTAGCCTACGGTACAGCTCATGCGATATCTTAGACCAGTATCCAAACTGCAACTTGATGTATGGAATTTGATTAGGTCTGAAAGGACAGGATAAAACATGTCACTGTCAATATTGAGTGATTAATCTTTTTTTTTAAATCAACACTATTATTTAATATTACTGTGTAAACATGAAGTTAATCATTAAGGCATTGATCAAATAAACGACACTTGACTAGATGTACTTGGATATATAATGAAAAATATTTAATTTAAATTTCGTTGGTAGAAAAAATTACTTATCAAAGTCAATAACGCGTTCATTTCCTCTGTTACACCTTTAGTTTGAATACTATCATTTGCTAAATGTTGTTAAATATAAATCTACAAATGAACAACACATTAATATTTCGACAGCACTATGATTTTGAGGATAAATAATTCTGTGAGCAGGAAAAACATTAACAACCTCAAGCCAGAGATCAAATGAAAGGAAAAAACAATCGAAAAAAACATGCAAGTATTGTTCACACACCTATAAGAACTAAAAACAAACAAAATTCTAGGTTTCAAAAACAAGGAGCTAGTTAATTGTAAAGGAATGAAGGCTTGATGGTTAAATTTACCAGCTCGGAGAACAAAATATCCTGAAAATCTTCTGTCTAGTCTTCAAGTATATTTCACTATCTTAACTAAGTTTGTCATCAGAGTCTCAATAATGACTCTGTAACATCAAATAAAAATAATAAATCAATGGGAAAAAACTAGTTTTCGATGAGTATCTGTTTATCAGTATGGAAGATTTGTGGGGATCGTAGCATTTTCACAGTTAAAGTCATGAGTCACTCTAAGCCAGACCGCCAACGAAGTCTAGGAGCACTCAATGGATGATTCGATTTATTGTGAAACTTTGTAGCAGTGCACATCCATGATCCTGTGTTCTAGTCTCTCGTGCGAGATTGTAAATTGCACTGCTGAGGAGTCCCACAATTGGTTAAATCGACAGTCTAGTGCTTCAGTGTACAATCAATATATAAATGAGTATAATTTCAACTACGGTTGTCGTGTTTTAGAGTGAACAGTCTTTTATGCTTTTACTTCGTGTCGTGGAAATTTTAGTGGTTCCTCGTTTTCAAATATAATAGACGACTTGCTTTTTGAATCCGACATTGCAGTTCAGTTAACTGACCATAGTCTGCTAAGTAGCAGAAGTCAGTTTTAGGTGCATTCCTTGATTTAGGTATTATCATGCTGATGAGAAGTTTAAAACTCGTGCAGAGATACCATCCTAAATTCGCATAAAAAAATAACTTGGTCATTAGGAGCTTTTTATGAAGCTTGAACGTTTAGAAATGTTATATTAAGTTGTCGTTCGTAAGTAGCCCATGGCAAACAGTTTAACTACTTACAGTAAATTTAAATAATAAAGAATTTCCATTTTAAATACATGAATCTATACAACATAGAATAATAAAATTCAAGTCCATGTAAACATCATGACTATCTTCATAAGTTCTAGTTTTGTAAAGTGTTTATGCTCTTAGCTCAATTCACATATATTTTGAAATGAAATAAATAACTCGTCATTAAAAAAATGTTTTCATATTAAGGCTCAATGATTTCTAGTTCAAGTGTACAATGATATGATTTCTGAAAAAGAAAACAATAAAATTATATTTAACAAGTTGAGTGACACAAAGGTTATCTGCATTTATACTTCAAACGAAGACTTCTGTGACCAGTTTGATCGTATAATGCTAATTATCAAGTTATACATATCGCTAATCCTCGTATATTATTATCGAATTAACTCACGTTGGTGAACAATAGAATTAAATAAGTCGAATATGAAAATGATTTTCGAATACGTCTATTTCATACAATCATTTTTTTCAGACAGACGATCAGAGAAACAAAGTGAAATGAAATGATATGCAGTGAGAGCCAACTCAATTTAATAGTCACATAAATATAAGTTACAAACATGTGATGAGCAAGATGAGAAATGCAAACACATACGCTCATGTAAAAACGATCAAGGTTGATAAGCGTATACTTAACGAGATCAAAATGTGACTCAAGATAGATGAATAAATTGACTTGTCCGGAAGCTATGTTGGCTTAACGTAGCAACCGACACCACAAGACATTAAAAGAGCTGGATTAGTACAAGTGATTTTTCGACAGAATGACTACTTGACCTAAGTTAATAACTTTGAAAGCCGTCATTATGATGCAGAAAAGAAATTCAATAAACATTATAGATTTACTAAACGTTGAAAAATGTTAATTTTAGGAGCAAACGGCTGCCACATCAAAATTAGTGATCTTTTCATTAGAATAATAATTGTTTTACAAATAACTGATATGGGGTCACAGAGTAATTTAACAGATGTAATATTATGAACCCGTTTATTAACCACATCTTATAGGTCGATGAAAGTGAAAATGAAAAAATTAATAGTGTATTCATATTTCATTAATGAAAGATTTCTGAAATTCAATGGTATTATGTCAATTGCCCCTAACAATTTGTATGAATGTATCATATTATTTATTCTTTTTAGTAACTCACAACCTTAAACTCGGATTTACACGTTCATTCACACTCCTTATATTCTTATTATTATCATCAAAATGTCTTATATTTACGTTGCAATTATGTTACTCAGCAAGAAATAATGTGGTGCACATCAAATAAAGATTTTCCAATTATAATTTGTTGAAGACTAATCATGATTTGTTTTGGTTGCACTAGCCAATATTTGAGAAAAAACAAAGATCCAGTATAATTGCTTGGACCGTCCATAAGATGATCATTAATATTGATTGAAGAATACAATTAACTCTTTGTTAAAATTACATACTTTAATAAATATAAATATAATTTATAATTTCTTTTATTTTAGATCTCTAATAGTGATACAACTGGTGATGTCACCACAACTAATTTCACAGAGGAACAAAAGAATATGATACTTAAAATAGAAGCTTATAACAGGTAGTGTATTTAATGATCTTTTTAAAATTCAAATTCAGGTTTTAAGAAAACATTAAACTTTTTTAGATTGTTTGATAATTTGTTTTAAAGAATAATCAGTTTTGTACATTGAATGGTTTTGATTTCAACCAGAGAACTAAGTATTTTGACCTGATAATCCAATAAGAATTTATGGACTAAGTGTTAAACGATAATCAATTTATAGGCAAAAGTCTCTGCCCAATTGATATAAGTAAAGGTTAGGTAGATGGATTAATAATTTTCAGCATGAATTTTTATGTCGATCACGCCTATGTCATTGATAATAAGTTTAGTTCGAATCTACAGAAGCTTCGAATCATCTGCGAAATATTTGTTATCCAAAAAATATAATTTTTTTATGCACAAAACTGTAATCACTGAATATGAAAGTATGGTAGTTGCTTAACATTTGAACTATATTGATCTACATAATCTGACATCCCAGTATACCTAAGCAATAAATATGGACTAAGATAACTTGAAAATTGAAGCAATAAACAGTAACATAAATTATACAGAACATCCCTTTTGACCATTATGATTTGATTCAAGTTATTAAGTGAACACTCTCAAGGTCAATCGGGCGTCTCTCAAAGATCGTCCATAAATTATAGTCTCACCGACATCCAAATAAATCATCGTATTTATATTCCAATTCAATTAAGTCTGTGAAAGAGATAAATAGTGAACTACATTTTTAAACACTGACTTTGATAATGGTAAAAATAATTTAGTAATTATATTCACAGCATATATATAGTCTCACCCACATATATTATTCTGGCCAAAATTACACGTTAGTGCTTACTATGTTTTCACTCACACTATTAATTTTTCAAACATCTTTTTATAAAACGTAATAATCGTTTTTGTTGCCTACTTCATCCATTTAAAAAGAATTTATACCCGTTACGTACAACTAGATGTTGTTTTCTTGTTATTAGATATATATTTGATGAATGTGTCGCTCAATTTCGTGAATTAGTTGAAGTTCGACATTAACACCATTGGATGCCGGTTCAGTAGTCTAGTGTTTAAGTGCTCGCGCGCGAAACCACTGGGTCCTGGGTTGGAATCTCGCAGGGGGCGAGGTCGTGGATGCGCACTGCTGAGGAGTCCCACAATAGGGCGAAACGGCCGTCCAGTGCTTCCAGGTTTTCCATGGTGGTCTAGCTTCAATTGACTCATGATCTTAACCATTGAAATTACTACAATTTCCACAAAAAACCCATCAGATATATATTTATCTTCAATTTGACCACTAGTTAATATCTTTACAAAAGCTAATATTAATTTATTGAAATAATTATCAGTTTGACAAGAAAGAATATCATTATGTTAATAAAATGTAGTTTGTCTCAAATCATTGTAAAACTATTCGTATTGTTGTTATTATTGAAGATGATGTTCTCTAAATTCAGTTGAACGTTATTAAATTTCATTGTTTCAAACTGCATCCTATCAAGAAAAAGGCCTATTATGGTAATTAGTTTTCTTTTTTTTCAAAACTATAATGATAAATAGGAAAATGAATTAAAGCATTCATAGTTTGTTTAGTAAATTTACAATATACTCATGTTTCATGTTGAAATGGAAACTTAAATTAGCTATCAACAGGACATTTTATGCACCCCAACATGTCATTATCGAAAAGATAAGGTCTATGTTTCACCAAAAACCGAAACAGCACGAAAGCGATTGTGTCACATCCCATTGTGTCTATCAATTTACATGTATGTGTGGAAACACGTACATAGGGAGGAGCAACCGTGATTTGCAATTAATGGTGGGTGAACATATAACAAAATGGTTGGAGAATCAGATGAATTCCAATGGTCAAATAGGATCACAGGATAGACAGGCATCATCCTCCGTTGCGAAACTTTGATTGAGACGGGTCATAAGGTTGACATCGAATCAGCATTTGTAGTGTTATACAAAAGCTTTAAAGGACATATACTAAGGTTTATTAAAGCCTTGGCTATACCGAAATTGAGACCCCCTTTATGTGTTTAAAAACAATTTGTGCTTACACTTAACCTACCCTGGTAATACTTGTTTATTATCCAGAGTGGTAATCACATTTGTTTTTGTGTACTTTATTATTTTTCCTTTGTTATGACTTACCCTTAACTTGTCCAGTTGACTTTTTAATTCTCATATATAAATGTTCTTAACAAGTATATGTGTGATCAGATTGTTCGAAATGTATTGCGCAAATTTATCACATAATTCTGATACACTTTGTCTTCTCATTGCATTATCGAAATTTATCAAAGGGACTAATTGTTTTAAATATACATTTCATTCAATGATTATATTTATTTCATTAACTGTAAAAACTTTGCGTTACTTTTTTGTCAGAAAGAATAATAATTTTATACTATTACTTTTCGTTATCTAATGTTCATTGTCCAGAGGATATATGGCAATAGACTCGACACAAAAATCATGGTGTTAAAACAAAGATTTCTATTGGTCGATATTGAAACACTACGGGTCAGGAGGCTATTGATCTTGTTAATTCTAGTATCCGCACTTTTACGCGTAAAATAATACACAATGCCTTAAGATAATATACTAACTATTAACATTGTTGCCTGTAAAAGTTAGGTCATAACGAATAAAAATATATCATCAATAATGTGAAATCGAGGGGTTCTAAACTAGTGTATGAATTGTATCCCCACAGTTACTAAGCAGATGAGAAACCAAGAATTTTTCATATCTTCATCTTTGATGCATCACTTTATGTAGTTTATTTTACGTTTCCTTTCACTAATTACTTCAATATTGAACATCTATAACATATCAAGTGGTCTAGCTACTAGTATCTTATTGACAAAAATAATTTTATCCCCATATTGAAAGTGGTCTAGCAATTTATTGGCATAGAGTTTTAAATTTTCATTAAATAGGCTACAGTGCCATATGTCCCAACTGAGGGAAAATTATTCACTTTTCTTCATTTAAATAAAGTGGTTTTGTAGTTGGTTTCAGTTATCTGATGGAATAATAATTTATATTCAAATTTCAGGGAAATTATAAAAGAGATAGAAAGACTGCAATTTGAAAGTGTGAAAACTAATGATGCGATTAGCCTTTTAAAAGAACATTCAAATATAACACAAAGTTCCTTCAAATCGCCTCAGGCTCTTCAAAGAAAAATAGCTTCATGTAGTAGTGTTCATCATCATAACGCTAGTATACCTGGTTCTAGCACTTCATCATCCTGGTGTAAAAATGACTGTGAACCATCATCCGAGGGCTCTCAACAAATATACCAGCTGAATAACGTTCAGTTAACGGAACGCTTGGAATTTCTCAGAAATCGACAATTGCAATTGATGTCAAGGATACATAGTTTGAAGGTAATTCATTATACTATGTGGGTCCTTTGTATTTTCAGTAATTAAATGGCCCTTTCGTCTATTGCAGGATGTTTTATTTGTTAATGATTCAAGTTAATGAAACATTAATTAACTAGAAATTTTTATTCTCTTTTGAGTGAATAAACACGAATTCCACAGCCTCATAAATTTTCGTGTTAAATTAAGCTTAGTGACAAAAACTGAGTGGAAGATCTGGGTTTAATATTTCCTCTGTCAGTCGTTCAAGGGTGCTTGGATTCCGAAAATTCAAACTTTATGGCCAATAAAATAGAGAACTCAAAAGGAACTTCTTTGGAAATAATTTTATGGGCTGAAACTTCGTACTTGAGTATAGAAATTGTATGTTCCACTCCTCTCTATCAATTTTTGTCTGTCGTTAAGTCACAATAATAAATTAGAGACTGTAGACGGTATCAAAAGTGTAGATGGTATTCTTCACAGATGATAAGCATTTTGAGTATCTTTTGCAACCAGGTAGTACATGACAGCTGATTCGTCCTGGTATAAGAGTGTTCAGGGACATACACCCAGTGCCCTATATCAAAGATCAGATAAATTATATGTCTGACAAATATAAAGTGAACAGGTTACCACGGACTAAAGTTGTGCTTAATGCCAAAAAAATCTTGAACCTGGTAGAAATTACTTTGTAAATACTGACAGGTTAATACAATTAACGTAATCTGAGAAATTAATTTCAAATTTACTTGCAATTTTGTAAAACAGATTGCACGATCGAGATGATAAACTAAATATCCTTCTTTTGTACACAGAGCCGACAAGGTACAGATAAACCTTCTCAATAATAATATGTAGTTTCAGTATGTTTTCAGTGTTATTTTGCCTACGGAAGAAACAATATTTAACAATATTTCGTTAACTTTTGTATTTTAATACGCATCGACAGTTCCTGTGATTTTGTTAGCTTCATTCAAGCAGATGAAGTGAAATATACTCGTGAAGTCTTATAGACTATAAAAATTCATCTCAGATATACACTGCAGAGATGGTATATATAGATCAACTGACGTTTAAGTGTATAATAATGTAAATCCATTAAAGGTTCTTAGATCAAGAATTATAAAAACTATTTAGTTGAATTATTTACCTGTCATTAAAAAATATGCAATAATTAAACCACCGAAATATGTCATTTGCTAGTTATATGGAAAATGTTTCAGAAATTTAGATATGAGTACAATACTGATATTACTACATAAAACATACTTAGTAGACAGTGATTTAATTAGTATCAGAAGGGGTTTTTTGGGGAGATTTCAGTAATTTCAATAGTTGAAATCATGAGTCAATTGAAGCTAGACCACGATGGAAAACCTGGAAGCACTAGATGGCCATTGGATGCCGACTCAGTGGTCTAGTGGGTAAGCGCCTGTCGCAAGACTGATTGGTCCTGGGCTCGAATCCCATTAGGCGGGGTCGTGGATGCGCAGTGCTGAGGGGTCTCACAATAGGACGAAAAGGCCATCTAGTGCTTCCAAGTCTTCCATGTTGGTCTAGCTTCAACTGAATCATGATCTCAACTATTGAAATGATATATTTATTCAACATTTTAAAGTCTTATAATACAAGTGTTTCAGTTATCTTGATTAGTAAATTATTACTATCAAATCTTTATCATCTTGAATATTTGAAAGAATTCTCATCTGAAAACTATACTGTTTTTTTTCTGAGAAGTTCATGACTATTATTTTAAATTATAAAACTAAACTTGTCAGAAAATCTACTGCCAAATTTGTTTTGTTTCAGATAAACTACTTGTGTTTTTATTTATAGTAAATCAAAAGAGAGAAAATTTCTAATCAAACAATTTTGACCAATGTCTTTCTTTAACAAAAAAAATAATGTTTACAGATGACGTGCTAATAAAATATAAGATAAAAATTTTTGACTAGAATATAAAATGAGGTTTGTTTTCTTTTTTCTCTTTTTCTTTTTTCTTTTTTTCTTTCTTGATTTTTATCTATACTATTTCAATTTTTTCTTTTCGTTGCTTAAGTAAGAATGAAAAATAGATATTTATCATAAATTGAATATCACATGCAATAGACCAGTTGATACAAATGTATATATATATATATATATATATATATATATATATATATATAGCAGTCTAACCAGTGAGCTGATTTGAAACCGTTACAATTATGTAACTAATAGTGTACTCAATCGATATATTCAAGTGTTGCTTTTCTTAATTATAATAATCAACTTTAATCTGTTAGTTATTTTGTAGAACCATTAGACTAATATTTAAAAAAAGGTATTAAAATTTGTATTTCTATTCGCTTTACTATCAATACAAAACTAGAAGTTCTACAATAGAACGAAATGGTCGTTCAATGTTACTAAGTATTCCATGGTGGTCTAGCTTCAATGCACACATGATCTCAACTATTGAAATTACAAAACTAAGTATAGAATATAGGTATTTTTACTTACCAACACTATTATCACTTATAAGTCTTTGGAAATGTTAACCATGATAAATTTTGAACTATGAAGAACAAAATAACAAAGCAATTTCCTTTAGTTTTGAATTACATTCATAAATGATATGTAAAGTACTCCTAAGAAATACTTTGACCACCTTTCATTCATTTACTGAGTAATACAATTTCTCTAAAAAATCATTTTTTATATTTAAGAGGATTTGACTAACAAGGGTGTGATTGACAAATAATTTATTAGTTTTTGCGAACAAAAAAAAGACAAAACAAAAATCTAGATAATTGTACTATTGTTTATTAGTTGGGCGTGATTTACATCAGCTATCCAATCCGTTAGATATAAGTAAAAGGTTATTTGTCTTGATTGATAATAAGCTCAAGTTATTTAAAAATAGGAAAGCCTTCGATTAGATCCTAGATATTTTCTTCTGAGTAACATGATAAGAATGGGAATAATATACACATATGAAGTCAACCTATACCCTTTGGTTACAATGAAGAGATAGTTTTAGAAGGAATGTAAATGAAGACAATGTATATGCATTAGGTATTGTTCATAGTAAAAATCATTATACGCATAATTAATGTAGAAATGGTGTAAATTTCGAAGCCTATAATGTTTTATTTAAGAGCTTATGGTGGTTTATATTCATGTCAAGTTATCAAAACTACTCAAATTATAATAACATCATGCTTTATTGGTAATATGTAGTTATATTTTTAGATCGATTTAGTGAAATAAGTAACACACTTCCTTTTTGCCACAAAGTTGATAGATTGAATATAGCTCAGGTTAAATATGCTGAAGTAAATTCGTATTTTTACTGTTCAACAATCTGTCTTAAAATAATTTATTTACGTTTTTATATCCAGAAATCGAGATTGGTACTTATGCAACATATGCAACAGTTATATGGAACACAGAAGATGAAATCAAAAAACGAAAACCTTTATCAAGAGACTGACAATCAAGGTTGCTATGAATGTCGTGAAAATATTTCACATCATCTCGTTGATAACACACCAGATCTCCATACAACTTCACGATTATCTCATACAATAAAACAATGTTCTGACAATTTCCCATTGAATTCAAACATGGTGAGATCATTGGTTGATCGTGAATGTCAAACCAGTTTCAATGCAGAATCAGAGAGAAAACCGATTAATAATAGGTTAGATCATGAGTTTTGTTTACCAAAATTCATGAAACATTACTCCTTACCTACTTATTCTAATAATGATGGTTGTAATTACGCTGAAAATGTAATTTCAAATACTACATCCAATGTTTCAGCATTGGCAATGATAGCAGCAATGACAGCGGCTACAATCTTTAAACGAACATTTCAACAATCCGTTTGTCAAGTACCTACCACAAATTCAGATAATTTTTATAAACAGGACTTTCAACAAAAAAATGATTCTGCATTTAATTCATCAATATCGTCTATGGAATCACAGTATTGGTCAGAGTTACGCAATCGTACTTCTGTCAAGGTTAGTTATGATCTACCATAATACGTAACAAGGATATATTATTTACAAAATTAGCTTTTTATCACACGCAAAAAATTGAAGCCAAATTATAAGGAATCGTAAGGTATTTCGTTGGGGGGTAAGAAACTAACCAGAATAGATGAAGAGAATTTCAAAGATTAATATATATATATATATATATATATATATATATATATATATATATATACATTAGTTTGCGTACTACCGATTAACCACTTATTCTGTTAAACATTATTTTAATAATCCTTTACTAAGTGATATGTATGGTAGCAACCTACTTTCTACATAATGACTTGTCACGAAGAAAGATATTACGATGATAACGTTAAATATGGTACATTTACTCATATATAATTCATGTGACTGAATCAATTACGTACCTACGATTTCATATATAGTAAATGGAATTTATAATATCATTTTTATTCATTAAAAGGAGTTTATTATTAATTCACCTGTAACTGTATATGTAATAAAACGTTTTTGGAGATAGACAAAACGAATCTAAATTGAAATGGTGTTTTTATATGATTATTTTTTAAATGGCAAATAGAGACACACCTATCAGTAATGTAATATTAACAGAATATGTCACATCTGTGAAAGGAAATTCACTGACTTTCTTAAAATAAATCTAATAGCATATTTTTCCACATTCACCATAGTAGAATTCATCATACACTATAATTATACTGATACGTAATAAACACAGCAGCAGCCAGATTATCTGAAACGACGAATACTGTTACGGTTCCAAGGTATAAAAGGCATTATATATAATATATGTAATATGATAAGCTAAGTTAAGCTGAACTAACTGATCAGCATATGCTCACCAGTGACGGCCTTCAACAAGTAATTCCTGGGATTCTAGTGGAACTCAACTGGGTTTGTTGTGATATAGTAACTCACTGAACACAAGGGTGGATGTGGATCAATTTGAATTAGACATTGACACCGTTGGATACTCGCTGTAGTATAGAAGTTAAGCGTTCGTGTGTGGAAACGATATGTTCTGGATTCGAATCTCGCGAGGCGGGATCATGGATAAGCACTGCTGACGAGTCACACAATAGGACGAAACGGTCGTCTAGTGCTTCCAAGTTTTCCATGTTAGTCTAGCTTCAACTGACTCATAATCTCAACTATTGAACTAAATTACCTAGTTGTTCTAGGCTAAACTGAATTACTGGGTTTTCTCACTTGAAGATATCACAATTTGAATGGCAGCATTTTTGACATTCTTAATGGCGTTCAGTAGAGCATAATCGTTACATGTATATTTAAAGTTATTTTCTTATTCTGATTTTTGCTACCGTGCAAACTGGTTTATTTCTATGTTCCCTTTATTTTGCATGTACATTTTTAAACGTGTTATTCCGAAGCAAACACTCCTTATAAGTGAAAATATAAGTAATATTTAAACTGGAAAATCAACTCCTTTGAAATGTGGTAGTTAACAATGTTTAAAAGGTCAATAACGTGAAACGAAATTCAAAAAGTAAACATGCTGCCATGGTTGTTCTATTCGTAAAGTTATTCTGTATGAGATTTAGTTACATTTAAGCCAAAATGCGAAATGTTATTTGTTTCACATATGTTGTTTGTAAGTATTTTGCATTTATAAGCGCTTACAAGTGTCTAATGCTTTGGTCTAACTATACCAGTGAGTTCATAATTATGTTCTTTGACTATCTAAAGACGGAAAGAGTAAATTGTGTAGTTTATTGTTGTCTCATGAAAACCACCAAAAAATTTTTTTCCACCCTAGAAAAAACATATTTATTGCGTATCTAATCAGTCTTGACAATATTAAGTAAATTTTTCTATCCAACAAAGCTAATAAATAGCTTTAATTTTTTATACTTTATTTAATAATAACCCTATAATCAGAAAGATGATTCAAACGAATGTCTAAAAGATGACTACCAATTCTACAATCAGTCTACTTTCAGTCAGCCTTCCTGCATCAGTAATATAGGAGATCTACTTCCACCTCCTCATTCTGCACCAAGTTCTACTTCATACTACCTAGATAATATAGATCTATTTCCATCTATCTCTTCTTCAGATACTAATAAACTACTGAACAGCGGCTTACTAATTCCAGCTATATCACGTGAAATGACACTAGCAAATCCATTAGAATCTACTTATTTTCACGATACGCCAAAATGCACGAGAATACCTGATCTTAATTCATCCAAATCTTGTGAAACAGAGCAAATGAAAGGATATGAACAGAAAGAATCCAAATCAAAAACCTCCTTAGATAATGATGAATTGAGTTATAACTCTCGATTGACAACTTCCAGCAGGATATGTGAAAGATTTTCTGATCGTATATTACAAGCTCGGCAAGCGATTGACAAATGGAATTTTCAAAAACACTGTGAGATAAGCGATAGGGTAAACCAACGGGAAAATCTCGTCACTGAAATAAACAAACATTCAAACGTAGTGAATGAAAAACCAGTTAATGATCAGTACTATTCTCAACAAAGTCCTTTGTTAAATAAATCAAATTTTTGCAAAGAATGCTACTTAGCTCCCAATTTTGTGCCTTCAACAGTTTCTTCAAGGACTAATACTTCTAACGATTGCCCTGTCCAATGTGTAGCAACTATTACAAAAAATATTTATCCAGATAAGAGTCCTCCTAAAGCTACATTTACAAACTCTCAACCTAATTTATCGAAACCAATGCCAATTCAAGTCGTTAAACCAGCAATTAGAAATCATGTACATATTACAAAGGCGAATGACAGTATTAAAGAATTACCTATAAAGACTGATAACCAAATTATAGATAATAAAGGAATTCAGACACATCATTCACAGCAACATGAAAATCGTAGTGTTTGCAAATACAAGGACAAAAAAGGAATTAGTGATAAACGACAAATTAAAGGCGTGCTAATAAATGAAAGTTCAAAGTCTGAAAGAAGTAATAAAACAAATAGAAATTCGAGGTAAGTTAATAGTCAGTTTTACAAGCACTTGAATTATTATGTAATTCTTGTTGGTTGAAGAGCCTATCACATTATTCTTGATATTTGACAACGTTTCTAAAAAATTACTGGACAACAATGTTGAAGATGATCATAAGACAAAAAGCTTTTTATAGATGTCAAATTTGTAGAAGGATAATCTCCTGAATAAGTTAAGTAATTCAAATATTTACTATAAGCAAACTTAACCTACAACACTCAAACGTTTAATCATACAAAAAATGATTTTAACTTATACAAACAATCATATTTTATCAAATCAGCTGCGTAAATTGACTTTTTGGTTTCATATCTTCTATAATAGGATACACCGATTGAATGTTTACTCTTAATTTCATACATAAAAAAAGTACTATTTTATAGTATTATTATCAAATTATTAAGTCTTGAGCTAAATTTGGAGAACATGTAGTTGGAGAACAGCTTTGAGTTTGAAACTTCAATGAAGTTATTCTTATATCATTTACAATCAAATGTAAACGTGTTAGAATGCTTTCAATTAGAACATCATGTAAATAGCAACTTTGTCACCAAATTTTTAGCATTATACATGTCATATGGCTTCTCATATCATTATCATCAGTGATAACAAGTATAACAAGGTTTTAGTTTGTCGGGTATAAATTGAAGAGTTCATGCTTATGGTCCATAAATCTTTCAGCATTAGAGACTATCCAGTATAACCTACTTCTGTGAAGTAAATTATTTTCTTTTTTGAAAGCCGTTTAACAAACATAAACTGAACTACAATAAAAATTATTCCATTGGAAAGCCCTAAATAACACAGTTAAAAATTCTAATACTCAAGTGCAGTTTATTAAAAACGTCTGCGTGTACTCAGTTTTACGTTGCTAGATATCCGGAGGAAGTCAGAAGAAAGTCCTGTACCCAGGTCACAAATGAGTGTGTTTCACCAACATGAAGTGTGTGAAAAATTGAGGGGAATAAATCTCCCCTTAGTGAATATGTAGCTGAAGACTGACAACTAGAACGTGTTGTATGTACACAGAATCCTGTCAGTTACCTTCAATCATTTTGCGCTAAGACTTAGTGCAAGACATTTTCTGTCACATCTGATCATACCGTAACTTGGTCAATAAAATTTAATCATCAAAAGGACTAGATAAACATGATATTAAACTTTGTTCAATATTCCGTTTTTCTTGTTTTCATCAGTAAGATACTTTTCAGATTCCATTTGCAATTCGCCAAACAAAAATGGTAATATGTTTTTAAAAAAAGAAATCAGTTATAACAAACTTTATGATGGTAAAATCATTTTAACTTTGAGATAATACAAGTTTTAGAGAAATGTATTTTGGTCGGCCTACATATCAAATTTTTTAATCTACAGCTATAACAGTTTGTACAGTATATTCAATAGATCAACAAATTACGGTATATAAACTCCGCTTTAGTCAGTAACTTTGTAGCAATTAAACTCATGTTGTTTTTTATGGTGATTGAATTTACAGATTATGTAAAGTTGTAATTATTTAGACAGTAACTCGAGATCAGAGTAACTCTGTATCATAAAAATGGTTGACATTTGTGCTTTGCAAGTAATTATATTTATCTATATGAGGTAGACAGGTAAATGAGTAAGTAAAGGATAGTAATAAAGTGTACGTTACCATAGTTGGAAAATGAAAAAATATTGAAGTTTATGAATAGAGAGGTTATAAATGATCGTCACATCCATTCAAATCTTGATAGTAATAATAACCTTTTGCTTGACTTATCTTAATCAGATTCTAAACAGCTTCAAGCACGTCAGATTTAATCATGGAATAATACCATGTTCCCTCATTTTAACGCCCTTGATTATCAGTGTATACTTGACTCATTAGCAAATAGCAATTTTCGTAAGTGCTTTATTTAACCGATAACAATTTGACGAACTTTGAAATGGACATCCAGGCGAGACTATAATTTATTGGCGAACCAATCATGAATAAGATAACACGTCTCGGATTTTCACTTCAAATATACTCATTCATTCGGATAAATAGAGTTTTGGCATTATAATGTATGTCAGCTCGTGATGGAAACACTAAACCTAATTTCTAACCTTAATCATCAACTGTGAATCATAATTGTAATTCCTCACACAGGTTTATGACTTTCATTTGATCCTGGTTATTAAGTGAACACTCTCAAGGTTAATCTTGCGTCTGTCAAAGATCGTCCATAAATTATAGTCTCACCGACATCCAAATAAATCCTCGTATTTATATTCCAATTCAATTAAGTCTGTGAAAGAGATAAATAGTGAACTACTTTTTTAAACACTGACTTTGATAATGATAAAAATAATTTAGTAATTATATTCACAGCATATATTTTAAGATTGTATTATTGTTAAACTGATTAATGTGCCGATCCTTATTTGTAAAATTCACATGATAAAAGGAAACTAACATCTTGTTTTGTGTGTTTTTTTAATTTTAGTACACAGCGCAGTGTAGCATGGGTTGACGAAGTTTTATCACACCCATTGTCTAAGAGTGCAAAACCTGATACAAATACCGATTTGACACTTCAAAGTGATGTACCTAATAACAATTGTAGTGAGAGACTTAACAAATATTCCAAACAAAATAATGGTAAGAATGTAAATGTAACAAAACATATTGAAACACACCAACCAATCAAAACAATAACATCAAATGTTGTAACAACTTCATCACGTCGACTGCTTCCAACTCCAAGTAACAATATAATGAACATTAATTAATTGGTCAGATAAAATTCCAAAACTCTATTTTTGATATCTTATTTTATTATTCAGATAAATGGAAATAATTATGAAGTTATTATACATTTACTGATCTATTCATTTTGAGTTCTAGTATTCAGATTGAATCAAATAACTTAATACAAATAGTATTAATATTCACTGTACTAGTATGAAGTATACTTTAGAAAAAGTATATAAAATAGTCAACGTTTTGTTAGTTTACTATATTTTGAGATATATTTATAATACATCTTTTCACTAGTATGTATAATCAATTGATTTTCTTAGTTTAGATATGTGAGGCAGATGAATAATTTCGGCCTAACTGTTGAAGGTATCAATATCCCTATGAGATGTTTTTGAGAGAGAAAAGAAACTATTAGCCGATATTTTCTTAACAAACAGTAACATTATGGTTACTTGATTATTTACGCTTGTCACTCCTCGTGGAGGAGCATAGGCCGCTCACCAGCACTCTCCATCCAACCCTGTGATGAGCAATCCTTTCCGGCTCATTCCAGTTATTATTCATTCTTTTTATATTTGCTTCCATTTCCCGACGTAATGTGTTTTTTGACGTTCCTCTTTTCCACTTCCCTTCAGGATTCCAAGTTAGGGTTTGCCTCGTGATGCCGTTTGGTGATTTGTGTAATATATGTCTATCCATTTCCATCGTCTTTTATTAATTTACTTTTCAGATGGAAGCTGGTTTGTTCTCTCCCACAGTAGGATGTTGCTGATGATATCCGGCCAATGGATGTTGAGTATCTTGCGTAGACAAATATTTATAAATACTTGTGCCTTCTTGATGATGGTTGTAGTAGTTTTCCACCTTTCAGCTCCGTACTGTAGAACTAACTGTCTTGTCGTTCACATTAAAGATTCTCACTTTGATATTGGTTGACAGTTGTTTTGAGTTGCATATGTTCTTCACTTACTTTGCTAATCCTCGACTTCACGTCTGCACCTGATCCTCCTTGTTCATCGATGATGCTTCCCAGGTATGTGAAGGATTCTACATCTTCCAGAGTTTCTTCATCAAGTGTGATTGAATCGCTGTTCTCCGTGTTGTATTTGAGGGTCTCGGTTTTTCCCTTGTGTTTGTTGAGGCCTACTGATGCAGAGACTGCTGCCACACTGGCTATTTTTATGTTCATTTGTTCGTGCGTATGTGATAGGAGGGCTAGGTCATCTGTGAAATCCAAAACGTCTAATTGGTTCTGAGCTGTCCATTGTATTCCGTGTTTTCCCTCAGATGTCGAGGTCTTCATAATCCAGTCGACCACTAGAAGAAAGAGTCAATTGAAGCTAGACCACCATGAAAAACCTGAAAGCACTAAACGGCCGTTCCATCCTAGTATGGGACTCCTTAGAAATACGCGTCCACGAACCTGCCTCGCGAGATTCGTACCCAGTCATTATCAATTTCGCGCATGAACGCTTAACCTTTGGACCACTGAGCCAGCAGCATATATTATTCGCGCGCAAGGCTGATGGGTCCTAGGTTCGAATCTCACGAGACGGGACCATGGATATGCACTACTGAGGAGTCCCATACTAGAGTGAAATGGCCATCCAGTACTTTCATGTTTTCCATGGTGGTCTAGCTTCAATCAACTCACGAATTCAATTATTAAGTTACCAAAATCTCCACAAAACTCCTGTTTGCTTATATGAATGTTAAATATTCAAGAATTCGTTTCATTGATTTGCTATATTAACGCTTTTCATGAAAAAAAGGTCTAACTTATACTGATTAAATGATAGGTCTTAAAAAAGGTATAAATTTCCGGTTTAAGAAATCAAAAATAGAAATTTCATAAATCCTAAAGGTATACAATTTGGAAATAAAACATTCAATCTGATGTTAAATTAAAATAACCGTTTACTAGATTTAATCAATTTAATACTACTACTACTACTACTAATAATAATAATAGTAATGATAATAATAATGGACTAGTTATAAATACATACCTTTTTGGATTGGAAATTAGCTGGGTTGATTTTAGTTGGTAAAGCGTTCGATTTAATTATCATTTCAATAGATTCATTGCATGATATCAGAAGTCACAGTCTAATTTAGATATGCTTTGCTAAAAACTCCAAATTAATATTCCTGAAATTGGTTTAGTATCATTTTAAAAATAATAGGAGTAGTCATTATATGTTGATTATTTCGATGCTTCTAATTGTAAGTTTTCATTAGTTTCTCTAGTTTGATGTTGTTGTACTACAGTTAAATGTAATTTTGTTTTTAGAAATTCATGCATGTATGAATGTGACAGTACAGCTGTGTACATAGTTCTAACATCTTATAATGTGTTCAATATAACTATCAACATTAAGCAAACTATAGTTCATTATATTATCTTCATAAGCTTTTTATTATTTATGAAATGGTAACCAAGACGAAAGCTTAAAATATGCAGTTTAGCTAGAAAATATACTACTATTTTCAGGATTGATGATGTCACTCATAATTCGTACGTTTAAAGTTGAATCGATACAGAATTGGAATATGCCAATTTATACTTTTTTTGAAAGTGTTCAAGCTGTTCATCATATTAAATAATTATTATATTTGATATATATACTAACGTTCAAGAAACGGCTTTTATCCTCACTTACGCAAGACTCCTCGTCGTTAAGCTGAAGTTTTGTGAATTTCTTTTTTATTATGACGTACATTTTTATAAAGAAATAACCTCAACTAAATGATAAATGAAGAAAAGTGAGTAACGAAAGCTAGTGTACAGTGTAAATTTATCCTTCGGTACAGAGTCGAATTTAAGACCTTCTATGAGATCTGAGACTTCTAGACATCTCATCATAAAGAAAATTTATCTTATGAACATTTGGTGATTAGCAGATCATATCATTTTGCTGTTTTTGTCTATAATACAGTGTAGAAACAAAATCACGTGTGGAAATTCTAAGCACAGTCAACACTATTTTGGCCCTTCGATTATTAGCCTTCATAAATCATTGTGATCCATAAAGTCGATAATAGTAAAAATAATGACCTTGATTGCCACTATACATTGCGTTACAGTGAGGCTTGAAATCTGTTGTTGATAGTTATCCTGAATCCGTAGAGTTTGCCAGTATTCCGAAGGAAGAATGCGTTGAACCTTTGTATTGCTGTTTGTCCAGTTTTCTATTACTTCTTTAGCTTCAGTTTTATCCTGGCGACCACCAGGTAGATGGTGATCTGAAGCTATGTCGGTTCTTCTTCAGATTCTCACGTCTTAACTGACATCGTAATTTTTTACTGATGCAAATATGATCGATCTGATTTTGTGTAGTGTGATTCGATGAGACTAGTGTAGCTTTGTGTATACGTTTACGTGGGAATATTGTACTACCTATAAACATTTTGTTGAATACACATAAATTTGCAACTCTGTCACCATTCTCATACACCTCTCCCAGTCAGTCCATGTCCAATGATATCTTCATACCCGGTGTTGTCAGTTCTGACTTCGACGTTTAGATTTCCCATCAGGATTGTCAGGCCGTTTCCTGGGCACTCCGCTATGATCAGTTGCAGCCTCGAGTAGAACTTTATTATCTTCATTGCTATCATTACTGTGTATATAACAGTGGATGACATTCATCATGATTTCCCGCTTCTTTGTTTTGAAGGATGCTTTGATGATCCTGAATCCACGAGATTCCCATTCTATATGTGCGTTTCGTGCTTCCTTGTACAGCATCAGAGGAACTCTGAGTGTTTTAGGCATTTTCCTTTTCGTGGTCAGAGTACAGCAACATCTCTACCGAATTTATCCTTTTCTGTCCAGCTTTCTTTTAACGGATTTTGCTGATTCCGAGAACCGCCAAGTTGTATCTCCTCATTTGCTTTGCTGTCCGACTGGTCCTCCCGGTCTCATACATTGTCCGGACGTTCCATGTACCTATATTAATTGTTGCTCCGCTTATTAGAAGGTAGAATCGACCTCATGACTTCGGAAGAATCTTGGCTTTCATCTTGAGGCGGCATAACTCTTCTTTCAACTCCCAGGGCAGAGTTTAAGTTTTAAATTGTTGATTGCGGCTAGTGTTTTTTGGTAAGATTGTTTTCTACATGATGGGGTTACCGAACCCATGCCCAACCCTCCTCCTTCACTCACATTTTGGACAACCAGTAGCCTTACAAGAGCTACAAACAGAGCCATGAAGCAACGTAGATGTTCCTTTTTCAGTATTCACAAATCTCGAGACAATATAATCTGGAGCAAAGATCTTTAAGCTATATTTCAATGTTCACTTTAAACTGACAAAGCAGTTAGTATTCATTCTTACAACTAAATTGAACTATGTTATAAATTTGCTTCAATTGATTAACTCTTATAAAAAAACATTTTTACCTATTGAACTTTTTAATATTTTGTACCTTAACATCAAAGACTATGCAGTTCGATAATTTTCAGTTGCATATATATTACATGAATTTCTACGGTAATTTCCAAGAAACTTTTTATTTCATTCCCATTATATATGTGAATATTCAGTAAAGAAATCATTCCATACTAATATCAGTACGCAAAATGAAGTAGAATCTGGTAATTCTTCCAAAATTTTATGATAATATATATGTAGCGTCAATTTCTTCTGTACATAGATACAAAATTAATGAATTCTCTAGAATGTGGTTTCATGTAATATATAAACACTAAATTAATGTACATTTCCATAAGAAACACTGATCAGTAATTTCCAGCTAATCCTGTCATACTAGATCCAGAAAACGTGATTTCATTCATTCTACTATGGAAATGTTTCATAAAAGATCAGTTTAACTTCTATTCATTCACGTAAAAACTTGCTTAAGTGACGAAAAAACATAAGATAAATATGATTTATGAAAGCTTGTCCAAAAAACAAGGCTTCATGTGCTTTGATTGTAAAAAAATTCGCTACTAACATAAAACTGGATTTTCGTCTATAATCAATAAAGTGAGATGATTTCTTTTGTTGACATATGCGATTAAATATAACCAACTATTACCGGCTGATGTAAGATTCAAACCAAGAAAATTTTTGGGTTGAAATAACTCAGTAGAAATAAGAGATGGGTTTTGTAACGACAAACAATCACGATTTTTTATATATTCATATTAAACTATTATTATTATTATCATCGAGTTGTAGATATTCAAGACACTTTAAATATGAAAATAACCTACGTTCAGTTGTTTT